TCATGACTGTAAATTTTATAATAAAATAATAATTGAGTATTATATGGTGAACAATAATTAACAAAATTTTTATATTTTCCTATATCAATGAATAAATATGTATTCTAAAATGAAATAAATATTAGTATGACGTGTTAGCAGAATCATATATTAATTAACATGTTAATTTTTTGGCTTAAATAAATACCACTTATTAAAAGATGTGAAATATGGATGATCCAAGCCTATTGGTTTTTTGTCTAGACGTACAAGTCCTATAGAAATAATTGATTTATTATATGTATCACGTTCATCGCACAGGGTATGCACTAATAAATGAGCTTAAAATTGTGCACCCCGTGCATCACCCGTGTTCACATTTTGGCCTATTACAGGTCACGTACTATATATATACCGTACATTTTTTTTATTCATTTATATAATTATAAGAATGGATAAATAACCTTAAAATTATGCACCCCGTGCATCGCACAGGCTGTGTACTAGTTTAAATCTAAAAATCAATCACTTGCCATTTAATCCAATCAGGAAATCTGCTATTGCCATTTGATCCCGATTTTTTAGAATGTTGAATAAACAACCTTCTATGTTTCACGTAATGATATCTACTAATAAATTTATCATCATAATAATCAAATCTTTTGTTGGAAAAAACCAATCAAATTCAACTTAAAAATTTAAATTTACATTTATCCAAATTTACCAATTACTTTTCATAAACAGTAACACACTTTAATTTTAATTACGACAGATATTGTTATATGCACATAAACTAGTGCATACCTCGTGCGATGCACGTGATACATATAATAAATTAATTATTTCTATAGGACTTGTGCGTCTAGACAAAAAAACAATAGACTTGGATCATCCATATTTCACATCTTTTAATAAGTGGCATTTATTTAAGCTAAAAAATTAACATGTTAGTTAATATATAATTCCGCTAACACGTCATACTAATATTTATTTAATTTTAGAATACATATTTATTCATTGATATAAGAAAAATAAAAATTTTATCTATTCTCGTTCACCATATAATACTCAATTATTATTTTATCATAAAATTTATAGTCATGTAATGTCATTATTATTATTTATAAAAGTTATAGAAGTAGTCTTCTTTATGTAATGATATTCAAAATAAAATTTTGAGTATAAATGTTTACAAAATACACACATGTTTTTTAGAATTCAATTTTTTCATAATAATTCTTTTTTAAAAAAAATGATTTAGAATTGCCAAAAAATAAATCCCTTACATAATCAAGAGATTTTTTCTAATTTTCATCTAAGGCTTTATTGTTTATTTAACATACTATGCAATAGAAAAATATTTTACAATAAGTTCATTTTTGAAACATAATAGAAAAAAAAAGTGATAAAAATACTATCATAGTTGACAATAATATACAAGTAAATAATATGTCGAAATTTTAAAGAATAACTAATATAATTTTATTATCTAACCATCAATAAAATCATTTAATGATGTGATCATTATCTTTTAAATGATAAATAATATTAATTTTTTTAAAAACAATATTAGTTTTATATAATTAAATAAAGGTTAAAAATATTACTCGACAAATATTAATAATAATGGATATCACTAAAATCATTGCATAAATTATTTAATGAAAAAATCTTTCAAATCATATCTCGATAGTAAATGTAAATTTGCAAGCATTTAATGCATATAGTAAAAAATTTCCAAATAAGGTTTGCATTAAATGTGTGTACTTTTCTTGCTACTATTTTTGATAAATAGGTTGGTTTTTAATATATATATATATAGATTGTGTACAAATTATATTTAAATTGAGATATACATCTATCCAAGATTAACCGATCTCTTGTAAAACATATCTCAAAATATTTATTTTTATTTAAATATTCTATGTAGAATCAAATTATGAATTTGCTAATTAGAAAATGTTATTATTAGTTATAAAAATCAATTGGAGTTCTATTAGACTTTTTTTTTTAATAAAATATGCTATATCTATACTTATATTAAAGGGGATATTATTTACTAAAAATGGTAGCAAAAATATAGGTTAACATTTAATGCAACTTATAAATAGTAAGTTTCAGTAATTTTATTATTTTTTATTTTTTTTTTAAAATCAAACAACATTAAATGTTACCTTAAATTACGGGCTTTAGTTCATTTTATTATATAAAAAACCTGGATAATTTCTTTTAAGTGTGCATGTTTTTTTATTTTATTTTATTTTTTAGAAGCAAGGAACAACATTAAAATTTTGGTCTCTATATTTATAAAATCTCAATTCAAAATACAACAGGTGTTTTAGAATCTCTGTCTTTATATTCGTGCCTTTCAAACATATATTGAAAGCTAAAAATATTCTTTAAATTGATAATGAATCAATCAATATTAATTTTTCGAAGATCACTATGTTTATTTTTTTATTAATATGCATAGTAAAAATAATTAATTCATCTTTAGATATATAATTTATAATATTAATATACCATCATTTAGTGTAGACATTTATTATATGAATCATAAAATATTTTTATTTCATAAAATTAAATATATTTACAGGAAATAAGAAAATTTCTTTGGATCAATCGGGTGACTGAATTAGGGTATTGCCCAGGTTGATTGAATTACTTAGGTGATATTTAAAATAGTCAAAAAACTTGACACAATTTGGTTGGTCCCAGGTGACTAAGTTATGTATCAGTTTGACCAAACCAAATTGATTATTAAACTTAAATATAAATTTTAATATTAAAAATATTTTATTACGTGAATGTGATGCAGTCCAAACTTCAAATAATCATATTAACAATACTTTTATGACAACATATTTATTAATTTATAAATATTTATATATCATTTTAGTAATATATGTGAATAACATAATATTTGATTATAATTTTTTTTATTAATGTAAAGTAAATAAAAGGTTTTCAGAACCGGACTGTCATCGAAACGATCAAGTTATTGTATTAAATCACTTGTGGTTTCTTTAGA